TAGTAGCATGAGTTTGGAAGCTATCGTCGAGTTTTTACAACAATTAGAGTTGATTAGAGAATTTAATCAACCAAAAGAAGAATTCGAGACAAACAGGACAAGCACGACCAAATCCATAATTAAATGAAGATATTGTGGAAAAAATCACAAGTACAAATGTCCAGCGCTAGGAAAAATATGCTCAAATTGCAAAAAAGAGATAATTTTCAGAGGGAATGCAAATACGAAAAGAAAATAGAAAGAGTAAAAAAGGTACAAACCCCCTACGAAGAAGAAGTGGAAATATTTACACTGAATACGCAAAAAAGAAGTAGAGAAAAAAATAAGGATAAATGGACATATTTAACATGCAAGTTGATACAGGCAGTGACATCCCGTTGATACCGAAAAAAACTTCTGGATAACATTAGGCTGACCTAATTTAAAAAAATAAAAACAAAAAAAAAAACATCCAATTAAAGCAATTTCATGGAACGACTATAAAAATAATGGGTACATTTCAAGGCAATTTTAAAATCGACAAGCGTCTTTAAGTAATTCCCATTACAGTTGTAGAATGCGAAAAAGATCACGGATTAATGGGAATTGATGTATTAAAAGTAGATACAGCAAGTCTAATCAATTCCATGGAAGCAGAAGAAAATGAAATAGGATTATTGAAAGGCTATAAAGCAAGCATTCGTTTAAAAGAAAATTATTACCCAAAATATATAGAATCAAGAAAAGTTCCAATTCATATACTACCTTTGGTAGTAGCCAAATTAAACAAAAAGATACAAGAGGCATACTAGAAAGAGTAACTCAAGGTGGTAGCAATTGGGCATCACCGATAGTAGCGATAAAGAAACCTGACGGAGATTTAAGGATTTGTGGTGATTACAAGATATGGTAGATTAGACACTTTTTCCTTTGCCCAATATCGAAACTGCGGGCCACAAGTTAGCAAAAATGGAACACTTTGCAAAAATTGATCTCAAGGCAGCATACAATCAAATAGAAATTGACGAGGAATTCAAGGAAATCACCCCTATAGGCTTTCTAGGATGGACTCGTCTACCGTTTGGGGTAAAGACTTTGAGCCATATTTTTCAAAAACAATTGGAAAAGTCTTATTTGGAAAAGTAAAAAAATATAATAATATACCAGGACGACATATGTGTAGGGGCAAGTACTGAAGAAGAATTAAAATATAAAACAAAGCAAATTTTAGTGAGATTAAAAAAAAGCAGGTATGACTAAATAAAGACAAATGTAATTTTGACTGTAAGATGATATCATATTTAAAATATTAGATATCAAAAGAAGGCATATCACCCGACGATAGATTAACAAAGAAAATAACAGAAATAGCTTCTCCAATAAGTAAAAAAGAATTAGAATCCTTTTGGGGGCTAATAATTTTTTTATAGTAAATACATACCCAAATATAGTGACATAATAGAGCCATTTGCAAAATTACCCCCCCCTCCAAAAAAAAAAAAAAAAAAAAAAAAAAAAACAATGAATTTAACTGGACACAAAACTAGCTACTGCTTTTGAAACACTAAAGAAAATATCAAGGAACAAACCAATAATAAAAGTTTTTGATCCACAAAAAGAAGTAACGTTAAACACAGACGCGAGTGGAAAGGCGATTTCTGCTATTCTATCACAAGAAGAACACCCAATCATGTACATATCAAGAAGGTTAACGTCAGCAGAAATTAACTACTTGAATATTGAAAAAGAAGCACTAGCGATTGTATGGAGCATGGAAAGGGCACTAAACTTTTTGATAGGAAAACATTCTTATTAAAATCGAATTACAAACCATTGGAATTCATATTTAACCCGAGAAAAGAAATGCCAAAAGTCACATCGTAAAGGATTTTAAGAAGGGCGATAAAGATCATGGCATTCGATTTTGACTTATACGTAAAAGGGAACACTATCCCTCGTGTAGATGCTTTACAGTTCAAGAATAAAGCAGAAGAAAAACAGGAAAATGTTGAAGATAAAATAATACACTGGGTAAAACGGACAGTCTTCCTTTCAATAGACTCAAAATAGAAACAAAGCAAGATCCAGTATTAGGCAGAATAGTAGAGAGAATAAAAAAGATTGTATGGAACAGAGCGACCCTTTAAAGAAACGAAGCACAAATTAACCATAGAAATTTGCATAATATGCAATGGGGATATAATTGTAGCTCCACAAATACTGCGAAAGGGCATATTAAAAGGAGCACATGATGACGTGCATTGTGGCATAACAGCAACGTAAAAAAGATTAAAGTGCAAGCCTGGTGGCCAGGGTATTCAAAAATGTAGAGGAATACATTAAGAGACACCCAAAATGTGCGGAAAACTTGTTTCTCAGCATATGGGTATCCCTGTCACAGGTGAAATGAGTTTCCTGAATTGTAGCCACAACTACACTAAAGCACTCAAGATCTCTCAAGCCCTTCACATTCAAACTAGTCAATCTAAGAGAGATACTTTTTTAGCTGGCGCCGCCACTGGCTGGCTCGAAGTAATCCGTCAAGAGCTTCCCGACAGCCTGGCCGAGATTGCTCTATCCTAGTTCTTTGTCGATCCGTCCCAGGGTGGAATTCCACCCACATCGAGGGGAAAAGTCAATTTCTAGGACAAATATTGGATTTTTAAGAGATTTTTAATTTCATTTTTCAGCGGTTCAATGAGTCAATGAATGACAAGTAACCAATGTTAAAAATGTCTAAAAACTTTATTTACATGCAGAAATTAATTTTTATTTTAATGCGGATTAGCTTTAGGTTATTATCTTTCTAATAAAACCAAAATTTAATTTCAAAGAAGATATTTTTAGATTATTTAAAATAAATTTTCGGTGTTTTAAGAAAGTCCGTGGCGGTACGTATATCTTACTGTGTGTATGAGTTATTGCCGAAAAAAGTTTGAAGAATTTGAAGAGATTGAATACTTTCTTCATCTGTCAAGATGCATACCGTTTCTTGTGTAGCTGGTGTTACAACTTTTCAACAAACACACATACGTTGAAAATCCTATCAGCATTGGTGATCTTTTTCTCACCCCCCCACTTGGGAAGGCGTAAAAAAATTAAAATATTGGGAGCATGGACCGGGGTTAAGACAGGACGCTAAACTTAGCGCCCCAGAACAGACATACGTGTCTTAAATAGGACGTCTCACTCACTTTTTATATTAAGCGACCCGAAACATTGTGTTGGATGTCTCGCTTACTTTCTCTCTCTCTCACACACACAGACACACACACGTAGGGTTTATTATTTTTAGTGAAAACAATCTTTGAAAATAACTAAATTTTTATTTCCAGCTAATTTTATAGCTAAGAAGGTTGACATGTACCTAATAACTTAACACGGACTCGATGAATTTAGGATTTATCTTTATTTAGTAAAAATAATAAAAATTCTTATGGTCTATGTGATGCTGGAGTATATTAAATTGACGTTTTATTGTATCTTTGAGGACGCCATTTCGTGCCTTATATTCCCTGAACTTTTGGATAGCAATTACTGTCTCCAAAAGGATGTAATATGCGACAAAATGCAATGCAATTGTATTTTGTAAGCTGAGCTTCTAAGTGCTTTGTTCTATTTCTTGAGAGATTTCTTTTGTTAAGGATAAATTTAAACGCTATATTTTGTCATAATGTCATTTTTAGGCCCTCTTATATAATTGCCATGTTAGTATTTTTGTATCATTACTAATGCTTAACTTTATAAGAAATATTTTTGAAAAAAAAAAATGATAATTTTTCATAAGGATAACTAAACACAGCGCCACTGAAAAATAAGTCGGAAATCAATGGCGAGTGCTAAATCAGATGTTAAAAGTTGTGGAGCTAAGTCAGATGTTTTAAAGTGTCTTTATTCTTTAAAAAATATCTGCTAATACTTTTTATCTGATCCTCTCTGATGATTATTTTTCAGTCGTATTATCCTGCTGTAAACATTATCTGTTTTTGATTTTAAATGCACATTTTTTACTCTGTACTTACATTTTTTACTTTGTATTTTTTGGAACGAGATCTATAAATATTTTCCGCATATAAGTGGATTTGGGGAGTCGAGTTCAAATTCCTGTCTCGTCTGTTGCATTTACTCTCCCACAACTTCCCTCGGGGAACGCATGATCCCGTTATCTTCCTGATCTGGTGGCTCAGCTCCAGTCACTTTCACACCGCTGTAAGTTTGCCTCTCTATGTCTTTTTTATAAATACTTTCATGGTAATTGTTCGAATGATCTCTCCGTTATAGTACCTAGAGTTTTTTTTTTTTTAATTTAAACGCAGCACTAGACTGGCGTCGAGATCTCATCAATTTACAATTGCTTTGGCAAGATGTAACTGTAAATTCTATGCTAACAGTTTATTTTCTCGCACTTCTCGCTTATGGAACTCCTTTCCGACTCCATGCTTTCCAGCCAAATTTAATCTGCAAAAATTTAAAGGCAATGCTAATCGCTATCTACTGTCCACTCTCTTCTCTTTCTGCTCATCATTAATATTTCTGTTCCTAATTCTTCCACACCCTGTAACCCCTTCTGTTTTAGTGGCATTAATGTCTTGCTTGGGGTGATTCCGATTAAAAAATGTTAAATAACATGACAGGTTGAGTTCTTTAAGTTTAGGAGAAGGACTACTTTGAATTTGAAACCGTGGTAAAAGCACCGGAAAACCACAAACTCTCGCCCCTCCCATTAAAAAAAAAACAAAAACAAGGATGTCTATTGTCATAATATTCCAAGGAAAATACTAGAACAAAAGATTAGGGAAAAAACTTTAATCTTTAACCACATGGATTAATCATACATTAATATCGAATACTATAGTTAGTGCGACAATGTGTGCAACACACTTTGCGACTCCTGGTCCTATGAGCTGACGTTCCTCTCATAGTGAACGGAAGAGTCTATATTCAACAATTTAGTGTAGTGAAGGTCTGTCATCTTTCTACACAACACTTTCCCTTTTTAAGATACGCATTCTCTTTTGAATATGTATTTTCTTCTTTTGGGGTCCACTTTCAAAACTTCCCTTCGATTTCTTTTACTAACACGGTGTTTTCGAGTAGTTATAACTGGAGTGAGCAAGTTAAAAGTATCGTACATCACTTTCATAGGTAAATCATTTTTTTTTTTAATTTCGTTTGTATCTATTGGTTTTGATTGGTTTACTTTTTACGTCGCCAATCCCGACCTTATACCATATACATCATCTGTTAACTGTGGGTAACCACTAAGTATAACATTTATATAGTAATGAGAACACACAGACATATATATATATATATATATATATATTATGGGTTAGGACTTTTTATAACCCTGTGTTCCTCTGTCATAAATCGATGAACTTTTGTCCAAAAGTAATGAAAAAAGCATTCAGTTATTTTAGTTTTTGAAAATGTCACTCAAAAAACCCGAAAATCCGATACGCAATATGCAATTAGAGTAAAAATTAAAATATTTCAGCTTTAATTATCAGTTTGTTAATGATTTAATTGGGTAGTATTTATGTATTATTTAACGCATTTAACAGTTTATACTATATATATATATATATATATATATATATATATATATATAGACAGAATTATTTACCCGCCCTTTCATAATTACAAATAAAATTGTAATACCTCAAATTTTCATGACAACTTCATGTGCATTCTTTCACAAATTATGAAATAAAGGATTTGAAAGAATGGGCAGTGAGGCCCACAACAAAATTTTTATTTCATGTCAAACAATAATACAAAAAAAAAACATAAAAAATATTTAATATACGAAAAAATTATTGTCCCACTTGCCTTAACAATCAATTGTAACCTTTATTCTTGATTGTTGCCTTTATTCATTTTTGATAGTTTCTTACAAGACTGATAAGTATTTTGATCCATTCTTCCTTGGCAATAGCTTCTAGTTCCTCCAAATTTGAAGGACTTCTTCCGCTTACATTTTGCTTCAAATATGCCCATAAATTTTCATTGGGTTCTAGGTTAGGACTTTTATTGTCAACTAAGTATTTTGTAACAATTCGTGCCATGTACTTCGGGTCATTGTGCATTTTGTTTTAGATTATTTTTAAGAATTGCCAAATATTTCTCTTTATTTATGATGCCCTGTACTCTCATGGTCCAGAAGCAGCAAAACATCCCCAGAGCAGAATGCTCCCATGATCGTGCTTACTTGTAGGGAGGGTATTTTTTGGTTTGTAAGCTTCATTCACTTTCCTCCATATAAAACACGAGTTCATGTGAACAAATAATTCTAGTTTGATTTCATCTGACCATAAAACATAGTTCCAATATTTACTCCCATGTTCTAGATGGCTTCTAGCATAAGCTAATCTGCATTTTAAGCCTTAAGCAAAGGAGTTTTTCTTGGGCAACAAGCTTGAACTCCTGCTCAATTAAAGCATCTAGTGACTGTCTTTGTCGATACATTCAACCCTGATGTCTTTACATCATTGTCAATGTCCTTTGTCCTTTCTTGTAGACATCTCTAACAATGTTCCTTTCCATTCTCTCAGACATTAACCGTCTTCTACTACTCCTTAATTTATTCTCAACATAATGAATCTTGCACTTCTTGAAAATTCTACGAATTGCCAATCTAGAAACATTTAAAAGCTTGGAAAGTGTTGTATATCCATCATCTTTTTTGTACACACCAACTATCTTAATTCGAAGCTTCTTAGCAAGTTTTAGCCGTCTTCGTCATGGTTGCTGAACGAATAATAATATCGTGGTCCGTGGCACTCACATATTGCCTTCTTCATTACCTTTTAGAATTACATTTTCAAAGGGTGTTTGCATTAAATATCAAATTATTCAAAAAAGATCATTACAATTGCAACAGAGCAATATTATTTTATAATTTCCATAAGAGGGGGCGAATAATTTTGGACTGCACTAATTTTTAGAAAAATCTATAACTCTGAATATAATAGATCAAAACTTCCAAAACTTTCACGAATTATTCAAAACTAAATAAGGAATCAAATATGTATGGTAAATTCAGTATATATATATATATATATATATATATATATATATATATATATATATATATATGCGTGTGTATGTGTCCTCTCTTGACAAGCCTATAAAATCTTTATTACTTTAGGACGTAGGTGATCATAGCTGTCCACAACTTCCCATTTTGTATACTCGAAGTCACCTTGATACTTTACTATTTCTCTTGTTCCCATTCAATCACCTATTCACAAAAACCCGCTAAGTAGATAACTCGCTGTTTACACCTGATTCTTTGGCATTCAGTGTATCCTGTACGTGTTACATTTTCTAGGCCCGCTTTCTTCATTAGGTGTTCTTGAAATTTCTCTTTCTGATTATAAGTATCAGTTTTCCAGTTGTTTCCTATTTTCCTTAAAACTTCCACGGTGCACAATTTTTTTTTATACTGGGTATTCTTAGCATTTGTTGTATTTTTTTAAACAAAACTTTTTAAGAATCTTCATAAATTAAAATTCGGTAAAATGAACAAATTAGATTGGTTCAAATTATAGCGGACACATTATTAGATTCTATTAATTAATCATTTTCAGACAGAATAAAATCCTCTTTTTATTGGAAATTGTTAATAAGATTCGATATCCCTACGAAGTGACTACAATTTAAAATTAAATTTAAATAATTTATAATTTACGAAAAAAGATAAAAATTACACAATTATTATGCAAAGTTTCAACTTTTAGACTAGTTTAGTTATTAATTTATTAGAAATTTTATACCCGTCAAATAACATTTAATAGGATTTTGATGGGAGAGGAGAACAGCATAGAACGCCGAGTATTATGAAAGGCGTAAACGAGAAATCACAAGACTTATTCCAGTGTGAAATTTGAAAGAAATTTACATTTAAAGGAGTTGCTCTCAGCAACTACCAACAACTTTCGTCTGTGAAAGCCAAATCTCTTCTGTATGTCAGACAAATCAGATTTCTTAAATAGCTACAAATCAGCTACGAATTCAATCAAAATTTGAAAACCAAGACAGTAATAACTTATTTTCCCTATTGCTTAAAAAATACAAAATGTACCTCTTTGAATCTTGCCTGTTCGCTAACTTTTTATTATATAATTTTTATACACTTATTTATATGTCTACTATTGCGTCCTGTGACATATGGCCCTCAATGTTTACTGTTAAATGATACGTATAATCAATTTAATAAGAGTTGCTCTGTCGTTGTTTTTCTTCTTCTCGTCTTTTTTTGTTTTACTACTACAAGATCGAGTCTTGTTTCGGTTAAGGAAGAAATCTTTATGGGCTAGCGATTTAAATTAATCAATTTTGGAAATGATTACATAATCACTTAATCCTAAAGCTGAGTATATTGAAACAGTTTTCAACTAATAGGCGGCTCACTAACTTATTGATGTTTTTACAAACTGATGTAAAACAATTTCCTGATCCAACGATATATACAGAACGCTTTTATTCTATTTACCTTGTTCCCTCAAGACATTGATGAACATGGCTTTCCACAGCTTCCTATCCTTTGTAGCTCTAAGTAATGTTTATATTTTTATCATCATTCCCATTCTCTATTCTGCCATCTATTCCTACAAGTTCGCCTTTTCACTTCAATATGTTAGGTGAGTTTCCATTTTTCTTAAAACTTACACGTTGCTTACACGCTCACTTTATGGTATTTTCAGCTTTCTTCTGTAAAACCACATTTCTCTTGTCTCATGTCTTCTCTTCAACCGTGAAGAAATTGTCCAGCATTCACTGCCATATGGAAGGACTGATATTACATGGTAGTTCAGCAGTCTTTGCTTTGTTTCTAACGAAATGTTCCTACTTTTTAATACTTTACTCAGTGTTTGGAATGCAACATTTATTATTCCAATGCATCTATGGATTTCGGTGTAACGTGTTCCATCTTTTGTTAAAACATTTTGCAGATATTTAAACTTCTGTACTTGTTTGATTTTGACATCGCCAATTACTATTCCGCGTCTTGGGCTTTTTCTCTTGCTGATAACCATGCTGAAACCTGAACACGCATTGGACTAGCGAAAGGCGCATTCCAAAAGCTAAGCAATGTGCTGAGAAATGGAAAAAAATCGTTAGAACAAAGGAAAAAGTGCTGTATTGCTATGTGATATCCACCTTCTTGTATGGCAGTGAATGTTGGATAATCTCCCCACGGATGAGTAAAAAAAACGAGAGGCAGCAGAAATGTGATTCTAAAGAAAGGATCCTGAAAATACAATGGAAGAAGAGAATAAGCAAAAAGGACATCTTAAGAAAAATGGCAACGGAAAGAACACTTCTATTCAGAACCAGAAAAAGACTTCTGATATTCTTTGGACATAAAGATAGATGGCTGATAAAACATAACCCTTACGGAACATACTGAGGTCAAGACGCTTGCTGGTCACTTCAACGAGGTGTAATGGTTAACAAGCTTGTCTCGCTGGATCAATTACGAGTGAGTAGTGAGTTCGATCCTCACTGGTTGCTCCATACTTTCGGCCTTGTGCCAGATCTAAGCTAAGGTTAGAAAATCACCATTTAACTGACGGGCTTATGTGAATGGACAGCGGAGCAGAGGGTAGATGTCTCAAGAAAGGAAGGAAAACTGCTAAGAACTACACTTGATAGGAAGTTGTGGAGAGTCATGATCGCCAATCACCAGAAGGTACATGGTTCAGAGAAGAAGAAAAAGATGATGATTTTGTGATTCGTCCTTTCTTGACGCTTTACTTTATTACCTTGTTTAGGCGGTCGTGACGTTTTTCTTCTGTGTCTACCATCAACACTGTCATTTTACGTATCTTATATTGTCAAGATTGTGCACACTGATTATGCATCTTATACATCCAGGTTTGGAACTTAAAACTTCGAAGCCACCAGCAGAGAAAAGGAAGAAGTTAAACGACAAGAGAAAAAGGTTCGACAAAATCAATCTCGTCTTCCACCAACATTATCATGCAGCCAATGATAAGAATTGGTCTACTTAGTCATCAACGTCATCATCATAAAGGAGGAGTCCAGCAAATAAAAAATTAAATTCTTGGATACGACGACGATCCTGGCATGGTTTCCAGCT